ATAACATCTGCTCCTGTGGCATGAACACACAGGATGAGTCTGGAGACAAATAAAGTCTAAGGTTTTACAGGCATATTATTATTGTGATGGGTATATGATGAATGGCCTCACACATCTGTGCACACTCAGGCCTGCACTGCTATGCAACCACGATGGAAGTTTTCATTGTGGGGCTGAACTGCATTACATTTGCAGGGAACCCTTGCTTTTATTGGAAGTGGTGCATCTTGAACCATACCAGCACAACATTTTGTGACAATATACCAATTCGCAGATTTTATATGTAGTGAGGGTCAATTGCTGTTCAGAAGGGCTTCACACTTTAATTGGTTTAATCAACAGATTAATTAATTTGTTCATGTCAGTTTTTAATTTATGAGCACACATTTTAATTAGTCTGAATTAAGGAGACACTTTTTTTAGTTCAGGTGTGGTGTGCATTGTGACTTACAGTTTCATTTAAAAATAGCTGTTTTAACACTTCCTTCAGTTGGGGTTGTCAACAGACCTGGAGAAAAGAATATCCTGTCCCTTTGATAGAACCTTAATGTGTGGAAATGGGCTGCTGAAGCTTTTCATGGTGTGGAAGTAAATCACATCATCTGGTAAATAACATCCAATTAAGCATTTATTAAAGGGACAGGATGTTTTCTCCAGGCCTGTTGGCAACCCTGTATTTAGTGTCTCAAGCTGCAGCTATAATGAAGTTTGGCTAATATGCAAATTTAATTAAATATCTCTAATATGTTAAAAGGCAGATTCAGGTGGGTGGCCGTGTTGGTCTGAAGCAATACAGCAAAGTTTGAGTCCAATGGCACCTTTAAGACCAACAAAGTTTAATTCTGGCTATATGCTTTCGTGTGCATGCACACTTCTTCATGTACATTGGAATAAGACTTCCTCAAGCCTTACCTATAGGTGGGGGGTGGGGAGGATAGTTGCCAGGAAGGACTAGTTAGAGTCAAGATGCACATGTAAGCATCTGCACATGCTAAGTCACTCAGTTCTCTCTTATACCCAGAATTAAATTTTGTTGGTCCTAAAGGTGCCACTGGACTCAAACCTACTTCTCACATCTGTTTGTTAACTCTTTTATTTGTATGCTAGTTTGCTACTATTCACAGATTTTACCAGCTGCTTTAATTCAATCTTAAGCTATATTTATCGCTCGCTTACTTATGCATCTTGACTCTAATTAGCCCTTCCTGGCAACTACCCTCCCGCCCTCTTTCTACCTATATGAAATGGTTGAGGAAGTCTTATTTTAATGTATCTGAAGAAGTGTGCATGCACACAAAAACTTATCTCCAGAATTAAACTTTGTTGGTCTTAAAGGTGTAACTGGACTCAAACTTTGTTCCATGTTAAAAGGCAGACAGTCAACTAAAAATCCTTGAATCCCTTACTAGCTCTACTGATTAGTTAATTGCCGTACTAACTAGAGATGTGTATTCATTTATTAACTAACAAAAAAAAATAAGATGAAAAAGTGTCATACATTCCAAGTAGGAAAACTGATGACAGTAATTGTCATTCTTTTTGCACCTGAAAGTTTGGTTTAGAGAATACAAACGGAATTGAGACTGGGAGAGAGGAGAAAAGAGTCAAGAGACAACGAAGTTGATAGGAAACCTTTCCAGTCATCACAGTCAAACATATGTTGCAGCGGAAGTGTTTTCGCTAGTAATCTGGATTGGGGAGGGATTTCCTGATTTGTGTAAACCTATAAGCAGCATCAATGGCATACCTGGCCCATTTGGTGCCTCCTCTTTTTTTTGTTGCCCAGTCACAGCTGACTTATGGTGAACCCCATGAGGTTTTCAAGGCAAGAGGCGCTCGGAGGTGGTTTGCCATTGCCTGCCTCTGCGTTGCCCCTGCTTAGCTTCTGACAAGATCAATCTAGGCTAGGGCTATCCAGGTCAGGGCTCCTCCTCTATATGACAAAATTATTTTCACTAGTAACGATGAAATAAAATGAATAATAATAATGCACACAGAGAGTACGAACAGCAATAGAGCAGTGAAACACGCCATCTGTGAAATAACATCTAGAGCACTTTGTTAATAATTGGTTGTAACGTTTATTTGTATAGTGATGGTTTTAAACTGGTTTTAAATATGTTTTATATTGGCGTATGCCCTTGTAAGTCGCCCTGAGCCCGCGTAGCGGGGAGGGCGGGGTATAAATTGAATAAAATAAATAAATAAATAAATAAATAATGGCCAGAAATTAGATTCAGATGGGTAGCTGTATGGGTCTGAAGCAGCAGAACAAAGTTTGGTCTTAAAGGTGCCACTGGTCTATCCCCCAAAGTACACTGTGCTCAACTGATAACAATCTACTGGTGATCCCTGGCCTGAAGAGTGTTTGGCTGTCCTTGAGCAGAACTGGTGGAACTCTCTACTGAGCGAGATCTGGGACATGTGGGATTTGATGCAATTCCGCAGGACCTGTAAGATGGAGATATTCCGCCAGACCTATGGCTGAGGACAGCGATGATCTCTAGCTAGGCTGACTTCCTCCTTTTCCCTTTCCTTTTCCATCTTTTTTCTCTCCCCCCCCCTTACTGCCAGAAAATGAGGCACTATTTGTGCTCTCTTTATGTTCCATCTTATCGATTACTGTAAATTTTAGAGTTGTTTTAAATGTCTATTAAAGGTTTAACGTCATTTTTTTCTTACCCTCCCTGAGCCTTGCTATACAGGAGAGGGTGGGCTATAAATTGAAGATATTAACAAACAAACAAACTTTGTTTCAGTGGCCAGAAAAGAATTGTTTCAGTGGCCAGAGAAGAAACTCAGCCAGTGAAAAATTCTTTTATTTAACTTTATATATATATAATCATGCCTGTAAAAAAATTCAAATTCCAACACACTGTTCCATCACAACAGCCAGCGTGGTGTAGCGCTTAGTGTTGGACTAGGATCTGGGAAGTCAAGTTTCGAATCCCCACTTGTGCTATGGACGCTTGCTGGGTGACCTCGGGTCAGTCACATTACTCTCAGCCTAGCCCTGGAGAGCCTGATCTTGTCAGATCTCAGAAGCTAAGCAGGGCTGACATGGAGGTAGGCAATGGAAAACCACCATCCAACATCTCTTGCCTTGAAAATCCTACAGGGTCACCATAAGTCAGCTGTGACTTGATGGCAAAAAAAAAATCCATCATACCACTTGTGTTCTGAGCAGGCACTTGTGAGGGCTTCTGTTCTTCATTTTGAAGCCCAAGATCTGACCATCCCAAACATTTACAAGGCATTTTTGAGAGCTAGGAGCCTGCCTTTCTACTAACTAGTCAAAGCACCACAAAATAGTGATCTCAAGTTTCACCAGACTGGATGTTAAGAAACACCCCCCCCCCAAGAATGTGTCCCAATCCTCCATTGTTTCCAAAGGACTAAAGTCAAACCAGATAATCTCTGCAGTAGAAACTGAAGGGGATGGATTAAAGCAACACCATCAGAACCAGTGCAATGTACAGAGTACCCAGCAGTACCAGTGTAATCACAGAGTACCCAGAAGAACCCAGGGCCATTGTGGCAATGCCTGCTGATGTCAAGCACAGAATCACAGTTTGGGGGTGGGGTTGGAAGCCCATCAAAACCAGTGCCTTCTGTTCATAATATTAACAAATACATTCAAATACAAATACATTGCTCTTAAATACATTCAGTCACCAAGTAGGATAGGCATGAGGAGGTCTTGAGACCAAGTAGTGAAAACAAAGGGGGGCACAGAAAAATTAGGTGAAGAGATACAGAAATGAATGAGAAATGTGTGGAAAAGATGGAGAGAAATTAAGAGAGGAAAAGGTTGTTTTATCTTGCCACAAAACCTTTGGCAAGATCGGAAAGGAGGACGGAAAGGCTAGACTATTGGAGAAAATGACCTGCAGGATGGCAATTACTGTAGCAGCTGTCAGCCTGCTGGCTTGATTGTAGGATCTGTCAAGCAACTTTGCTGCACTCTTGGAGAAAGGGAAGTGTAGCCAATCCTAGAGTACTTTTTGCTAGGCTCAGACTTCCCTGCGCCCCTAGTGGCTTCAGCCAGAGCGGTACTTTCAAAATGAAAGGAACGACGTTTGATTGGACGCAGCATGACGCTGGCTTCAAGGGCCCCCTTCAAGGGCCTTCCTCATGCTGCGCCTGGGTGGACCGCACCCCCACCCTGCCCTTGGCACACTATTGAACATCATTTTCCCTGCCCCCATCCCTTTTCTCATGAACTAATTCTGTTTTTCTGGAAAATGCAAGTTTTCAGACATTTTCTGGAGGTTTGCAAAATGTCATTACTTTTTTTGTTTGGTCTGCTGGGGTTAAATGCAAGCATAAGTTCTTTCTCATAAATGATCCCACAAATGATGGATCTGTCCTGGGTCATGGGAACCACAAGGTGAATTAAGTCAATATGTAGAAAGGGAAGTTTTGGTAGGAGGAAAAAAATAAAAATTTGATTTGAAGCTATGAAGGAAGCTAATGCTTTACATGAAACACACACACACACACACAAATAAGTTTATTCCATGAAGCAAAAAATTGCTTTCCCTCCAAATATTTCTCCTGTAATAAAATAACACTCACACTTTGATATTATGACTCTTTAAGGAAACTTATTTTCTATATCCTCATTTTGATGGAACCTAGTAGTGGCTTAGGACAATCACTATCAGATGTTAGATTCAGTTAATCCTGATAATTTATCTTTTGCATTTTTCAATCATAAATCATAACTTTTTCCTTAAGGCCAAAAAGGTTACGTAAACCTTTTTATTGTATTTTAACAATGTCTGGGACATCACATGGGGGAAAATAGCTGGGTGAGGGGGAATTGTATCAGAAACGTGGTAGCAGGGAAGGGATAAAGCATTCCTTCCCTCATCACTTCTCTGCCCCAATTACCTTCCCCTTACTGCGCAACATGTAAAATGCATGGTCAGAATCTACTATTATGTGTATTTTAATAAGACCAGAAAACTGATAGTCTGCTTTTTTTGTATTCACAGCTGTATGCCAACCTGGATGTAAACATGGGGAATGTATTGGACCAAACAAATGCAAGTGTCAACCAGGATACAGTGGAAAAACATGCAATCAAGGTAAGAAGACCAAAACTCAGTATTCAAAAGCAAGTTTCTTTGTACTATTGTTCAAGTATATTTCAAATTTTCTAGCAGCAGTTTGGTCCTCCTAATCGGAGACATGGCTTCTCTGGGCTACCTATCAAGCTGTGTGCTGAACAAGCAGAGGCAAGGCTGGTTGTTGAGTTTGCCATTCCCCTTTTGGCCAAATGGCTTGGTAATGCTCAAGATCAGCATATAGTTCGATTGAGGTATCTGTGTTCCTCTATTCTGGCTAGCTGCCCTATAGCCATCAGAATGGAATGAGAAGAACATAAGAACATAAGAGATGCCGATGTTGGATCAGGCCAAAGGCCCATCCAGTCCAAAACTCTGTATCACACAGTGGCCAGAAATACCAGGTGCCATCAGGAGGTCCACCAGTGGGGCCAGGACATTAGAAGCCATCCCACTGTTGACCCCCCCCCCAAGCACCAAGATGACAGAGCATCACTTACCCCAGAGTCCCTATCTATACCTTGTGGCTAATAGCTACTGATGGACCTCTGCTCCATATGCTTATCTAATTCCCTTTTGAAGCCGTCCATGCTGCACAGAACTTTCATTATTTTCAAAGAGGTTTGGGAGCGATTGGGATTGCATCACAATCCTTGATAGAAAATTATCATTTAAAAAGTAAATCTGTTGTTGGAGATATGAGATCAGCCTGCTTTAGTTTCAGAGGGTAGCTGTGCTGGTCTTCAGTAGAACACCTAGATTTGAATCCAGTAGCACCTTATAGAGCAGCAAGATCTTTGGGGTGTAAGTTTTTGAGAGTCAAAGTGGTATCTGATGAAGGGAGCTTTGACTCTCAAAAGCTTATACCCCCCAAATTTTGTTGGTCTCTAAATTGCAACAGGACTTGAATCTAGCTGTTCAGCCTCCTAGCTGTTCAGCCTCCTTTAGAGATGTTTCGCCTGAACTTAATTTCAAAATGTTAATTCTGAGTTGGTAATAAGGATTTTTGAGGTGTATGTAAAAAGCTACGCTATGCTATTTTGAAAGATTTTCTTCCCTATTGACTTTATAATGAGCCGCAATTCAGTAATGGTATAAATGAGAATGTCTCTTTTAAAACAGTGGCCATTTTTGCCCTTTTTGACTCACTTAGCTCCAAAGTATTATTTCATATAGCACAGAACTCTCCCAAGTGCTTAAACAAGTCATAGTCACATTCTCTAGTTAACCGTGATAAATCTTTCCTAAGCTTATTATGGAAAAGCAAGTGAGTGCTGAGGAGAATCTGACAATTTGAGGAAGGTGGTGCTTTATGAAACTGTGCTCTCTGATACTTGTTAATCCTCTTGTGGCACGGTGGTTTCTAAATGCTGGTTAAAGCTCGGCTGTTTAGATATATTAATTCTTCCTTGATAGGCTTATGTGGACTATAAGCCCACCCTCGCCTTGGCACAGTTTCTCACCCTTTCTTTACCTCATGTTGTTACCTACTTTATTCACACACAACCAGCACCATCTTGTGTGACAGTCTGTGTTCTATGCTAGAGTTTTAGTTGTACATTTATTATATTTCTATCCTGCTTTTCAGCCAGAATTGCCCCCCAGAGCAGCTTACTTAAAACCCCAATACATATCACGTTAAAATATAATAAAAATGTCCCTCAGGGACATTCTTAGCTGAGCAGGATCCAGGCATGATGAAGGGGTATCTGGGTGTTTTGTGTTCTCTGTCTGATATCTTTCTTGATGGCAGTTGAAAACTGAAAGGAGAAGGGGATCATTCTTTCTCTCCAGAACTACATACCACAAAAATATTGTCTGTGTAAAGCAATCAAATCTGTATTCCTGTGTCCTTGGGCTCTATGGCTTTTATGAAACAGCATTAGGTCTGAGGAATTATCATGAAGTTTTATAAAGGCGGGAATTTTTGTGTCGGAAATTCATACTATGTTCAACATTCCAGTGACAATTGCCCACAGCTCTCATTTCAGTGGGTCTCATATGGGACAGCTTCCTGGTGAATGGTGCCCATTATAATTAATAATACAAGAGAACTGCAGTTTTCAGCTCAGTCTCACGTGCAGTTCCCTGACTGAATGTTATTGTCTGTGTTTTCAATAAGAATTAGAGCCTCTTCACATTACACCTAAGACAAAAGCTTACATTTCCACTGTGGGTTGACTTTGTCTTTTCTGTAATGCATAGCTTTCCCATGTTGGAAAATATGCAGGAACTCATTCTCAGATGCCACAATTGATCCAAGTTAGCCTTGCTATACTGGTTCAAGCTACATGTGCCAGTAGCAGTCTCATTTGTTTAAACCCCAGACTGGCCAAATCATGAATGGAGTAGCTGGTGATGATCTAATATTTAGAGCAAAAGGACCACACCTTTTAACTTCCCCAAACAAGCACTTCTCTTGCATTGGTGATGTTACTTGCAGCTAAAACTCAGAAGTTACAAAGGATATTTCTAGGAATCCATATAATTTCTGGCAATTCCTAGAGCTGTCCTATGCTGGTGACATCACTGTGGTTTTTTTTAAAAAAATCCCATTGTCATTCATTTTTGGACTTAGCAGTTCAATTAGTTGCTGCTAGTGATGACATTTTCCATTAATTTCTGTAGAGTCTTTCTGGAAGTATGGCAGCCCTAGTCTTCATGTGACTAATGGCTTATAATATATTGCATTGCTACAAATTATTATTATTATATATATATATATATATAATGTCTGTAGATTTCATTGATCTCTGTTGGCTGGCTTCTTTGTAATTCAGCTCCATCTTGGAATCCAAATGTTGTTTCCCAGGCTTGAAGAGGCTGCCTTCAGCCAATTAAAGTTCTGTTGCTGGCAAAAAGGTCAAATAAACTTTTCTTTTTAATGAATTGATAATTATCATATTCCATAAGGCTACCATTTGTCATTTGTTTGCATAGCAAAGCTTGGGCTCTTTTAAAGTGGAAGAAAATACCATTTTTTTAGACAGGAAATTTAACTTTTCAGTTTCCTTTCATTTCTTGCAGACCAAATACAGGAATCTCAAAGTTAGGCTTTGGAAATTATATTATTGCTGAAAATCAATTGATCCTGCTATCAATTCACCTTCCAATTCTTTACCTAACTTAGTTCAGTGGGAGTAATTGAAAAGACCTTGTTCAGTCTTATTGTTCTGGTATATGATATCATGTATATAGTATCGGAGACCAAGTTGAATGTGAGGCTCAGGTCCAATAACTTTGTACTTTAGTTAGGGATGGACACGAACTGGGAAAATGTGTTTTTGTTTGTGGTATGCCTGGTTCCAAACCAAAAAACTGTCACGAACTTTTAGGGGCTAAACGAACCAGTGCAGTTCATGAGGTTTGTGAGGCGGTAGAATGGCCCCCAAGCATGCTAGAGACACCAAACATGCAGAGGATCTGCAGCTGACCTTCCTCTACCTGCCTTCCAAGTTTGGTGAGGACTGGGTTTACAGCTCCCTGAAGAAGGTGCCTGAGTTACAGGCCCCTGAAGAAGTTGCCCCCAGGGAAGTGCTTTCTGGGAAAATGACCGCCATAAATTGTCACAAAATTTAGTTCATGATCCAGTTCGTGCTTTAGAACACAGAAAGTCCATTATGTATTTTTATAGTGAGTAGCATTTGCCCTTGCTTTTGCTACAACTCAAGTCTGGTAACTGGTTTAGAGTGAAGGGTTTTTGGGGAGGGAGACAATAACACATGATTGGAAAAGTACAATTTCAAAATGTTCATTGAAGCAGCAGTTAGGTTTTCAACAGGTGGGCCCCAGTGTTGTTCTGTTCTCATGGTTTCAAAAATAATGGGTATATGGGGAATGCAGATGGAAGTATCAGTAGGCAGAAAAGAGGGGCACTTAACCCATTCCTCACCCACTTCAGTACAAATTATTCTACTCTTTCCACCAGCTACTGAGGTTGGTAGTATAGCCTTTTGTTCCAGTAATGTTTGGAAGGTAGGTCTTCCGATTTTTCTGGTTACTTATTTTTATTGGCTCTGTTGTTTTGGCAGCTATTATGTATATTCTAGATTTTTATGAGGCTTTTTGGAGAGAGAAAAAGGTCCACTGGAAGAAGAGCCTCTTCCAACAGCAGAAGGCCCCTTGGCCCTGAGGACACCTTGACTGAGTGTAGTGGTAGAATGTGTTGTTTCATGACTGTTGATGTATACCACATCCCTGTGCATCAGCCATGGAAATTCTGCACATTGCAGAAGATTTGAGAGAGTGTTGTCCCACAGGTACCCTAGAATACTCCCAGTATTCCTCAAAAGATGTGCATGGCAAGGGAAATGTGAGTAAACTCTCTTGCAGGGAACACTGTCCATCATTACT